GGCACTGCGCTCCTCTCCTTCTACAGAGGAAGTGGCCCGGCTCTAACTCCAGTCCCTGGCTAGCTTTGGACGCTTTTGCTTTGCATCCTCAAGAACAGCATTCCTTCTCACCCCTGGATATTCAGACCCGGCCTCCCGAGTGGATTCTTCCCTTTGCAATCTGAACACACTCGAGTCTGTCCCGACCAAGAGCGGACGACTTGGCCACATGACTTGGCCACTCTGCTTCCTTTTTCTGCCAAATGTCTTGGGAGAATGATCCCAACCCAATGACCCCCTTCTCCTTCCACCGCACTCCTCAGCCCACTTCAGTCTGGTATCTAATGAGAATCCCTCTTACTCACTTTACAAAGCACCTTTTAAACATGAAAAACAGAAAAGAGAAAGGACCAAGAATAACATAGTAAGTGCCCCCGAAATTCACAGCCCCAAAATTTAAACATGTTAACACTTTCCCGTTTGCTTTAGAATTATTTTTCAAGAAATGAAACAATACTGGCAGGCACCTTAGCAGTGTCATGTGCAACCTCCCTGCTGGTGTCCTGCTCACCAGGCTGTCCCTAGGGCCTGGCATGGTGCCTGACGGGTAGCAGATGCTCAATAGATACTGTTAAATAAATAAGTAGTTGGGAAAAAAGAATAAGCAGTTTATATTTAAGTGTTTTGGGTAAATGTGGAAGGTTATTATTTCTCTGAGAATAAAACTGGGAAAGAACCAGGCATGAGGGCACACACCTGTGATCCAAGCAACCCGGGAGGCTGGGGCTGGAGGACGGCAAGTTCAAGGCTAGTCTTAGAAACCTAGTGCGTCCCTGTCTCAAAATAAACATCAACAAGGGCTGGGGCTGTAGCTCAGTGGTAGAGCACTGCTGGGCTCAAACCAGTACCTCAAAAAGATGGGTCGGGGGGAGAGACCTGGGGTGGATGGGAGGCCTTGTGTGAACAAGCAGGGCTGTGGGCTAGTTGGGGGACTTGGGGAAGTAGGGTGCTTGTTTGCAGGCCTTTTGGTGGCCCGCTTGCAACATGTTAGAAGTCCAGTGACAGGTTGGATTCCACACACAGTAGGGCCTACAAACTTAGGAAACATGCAAACGGGATGAGGGGAAAGTCAGATTTGGCATTCTACGGCTGTTCTTCACGCCTGCTGGTTGCTTTAGAAGTTACCCTGGGGAATTAGCTCCCTGCCATGTGCAGCTCCTCAGGGAAGGCGCCCAGTAAGCAAGTGCAAGCAGGTTTAAGAAGAAGTTAGGAAAGCAGGAGGGCCCAGTGAACTTCCCCCCACTCACCTAAGTTACTTAATGTCACGTATCCAAGGAGTTCTGGTGACCAGAGGAGGTTTCCACTAGTTTGCCTGGACACTCATTCAGCTAGCAAATGACATCACCGTATACGTGTGTGGGCTGCGAAGCTTCTGAGCAAGGAACAGACCAGGAGACAGGAACCTGCCTCTGGCAGCTGATCTGTCCCTTGTACCTGTGTGACCCTGGCAAGCAGGTTCCCTGTGGGCCTCATTTTGTCGTTACCCAAAGAAGGGAAGACATGGGATGTCTCCAACAGACTGCATTTGTTAGGGGACTCTGGGTGGTGAGTGGAAAAATCACAATCTCAAACTGGCTTAAAAATAAATGTATTGGATCATAAAATGGAAAATTCCAGAAGTGAGCTGGCTGGAGATAAGGTTGAACTCAGCATCTCCAGACGTCACCCAATGACCAGCTTTGCATCAGCTTGCTGGGGGCTGATTCCAAGGTGGCTGCCAGAGTCTCCAACTGTGTGGCCCCTTGTGTGGCAAGAAGGCATCTGCACCATGTTCCCAGCAATCATTCTCAAAGTTGCTGGCAGGGGCAGCTGAGGTGACCACCCACGCCAGCCACCCAGCCACCATGGCCTGGGGAAGGAGTGGGACTTCCTGGCTTGCCCCAGGTCACATGTGCTCCAGAACCAGGGTGGAGAGACGGTTTCCCTGGAAATACACAGATCTTTACAGGGAGATCTCAGGTAATGGGGAAGGGGTCAGGGAAATTCTGAACAGACAAGCAGCAAGTGCTCACTCGGGGTCTCACCTGCGCTAACAGATTCTGTCGGCTTCTGCCCAGTGAGGAGCACGCTGACTTAGAGTATTAAGCAGACACCACTGAGCGCCTGGAGCTTGGAAATCCCTGCTGCCTTTGAATTCTGCTGTAACCCTGAGCAGCACAGGGGACCACATCATGGCTGTCAGACAGCAGATACAAATACATATACCTCTAAGCCACGCCCCATCCCTACCTCCTCCAGCCACACCCACCTGCCTCCAATTACCAGTCAGTTAATCCCTGTCAGTGGATTAAATCATTGACTGGGATAAGACCCTTGTAACCCAATCATTTCTTCTCTGAACCTTCTTGCATTGTCTTGCACACCTCACATCCAAACCGTAACAGTGGGAAAAAGGGTAAACACCTTATCATCACTGGGTCTCTTATGAAATGGAACAGGATCACAGCATCAGATGACTTTGAAGTCTGAATCAAACAAGGCAGGAAGAAGTGGCACATGAACACAGCTCCTTTCTTGCTTTCCCAAGTTTTCTACTCTCCTTTATCTCTTAGTCTCCACGCAGGAGTCTAGAAGGAGAAGGATCACACAGGAATACATTAAATTTTCATGTAGCTGAGTTTTCGTTTATTTTTAAATTGGGGGGTATAGTTATTATAGGAAAGAACGCTGAAATCTTCATTCAGTGTCATATTTCAGTCTAACGTGGACCTTCTCAATCCAGAGCTCATGGGTCTGACCCCGCCTCTGCCTCCTGAATCATCTCTTCCCAGGATTGTGAGGACAGTAGGGTGGTAGGATACAACAGGATGAGACTGGCTCGGGGAGCCGTGAGACTCAAAGGTCAGGAGACCTGGAATTCTGTCACCTTTCTTTGAGTCCTCCACTAACATTTTAGTTCCAGATGGTGCTTTGGTCCAGTGTTCGGGTCATAATCTGTATGTTTACAAAGGGCATCAATGAAGGTCAAATTGAAGAGAAGACGAGATGAAAGAGTGAACTTCCGCATCAGGTCTGAGAAGATGACCAGAAGTCTGTCAGCAGGAGGAAGAGATGGAGGACACACATGTGGAACTTTGGAGGGAAAAGTGTCACGGCAAATTTTCCAAAAAACAACTACTTCCACGCGGGGGATTCCAGTGAAGCCGGGGTTGGAAGAGCTGGCTTGTGGAATCCCAGTGCTGTGCTGGGACATCCCCCTTCGTTCTGTCCACCGTGAACTGTTGGAAGAAAGGCTTAGCCAGGGCAGAGATGCCAGGCTTGTGTTTGGCAAATCAGTTCTCAGGGGTTGAAAGTGAGGACTTTTTTCTATGTGGGTGGACAAAGCAGTGGTGCTGATAACCAAGGCTGTAGGAAGGAGGGACAGTGGAGACCTCTGTTTACCACCCGCCCATCAGGAGGAATTCAAGCCTCAGACGCAGCCTGTGTAATTCCCCTCTTTCCCAAGCTCCTCCAATAGAACCGCTTGCTTTATTTGTCTTTAGAATTCAGAGCAACTAAATGCTTTTGGGGGGAAAGCAGCCACCAGATGGCTACATCCCTTGTTATCCTTTTTCTGTCCTTGAATTTATATCCAGAATTTACAAAGTAAATTCACTAGCCGAGATCTTCCCCGGGCAGGAACAGCCACTTTCTCTCAGGAAGTTGTGCTTGCTTCAGTGTCCAGACTCCCTCCTTTATCAGAGATTCCGTGTCCGTGCTCAATATGGACGTGAGGCAACTCTTCATTCTGTTGTGGGAAAACATCCAGCAGATGGGAGACGTGTGGACAGTCCTCTGCCCTGGTAGCCATGGCTAATGATGAGTTTTGGAGAGTAGTCATAGTTTCACAATGTCATGAGTCCTGAGTTCCTTCAAAATTCTTGGATGAACTCCATCTAGATTTAGGATTTATTTACATTTAATATGGCCACTTGATCCAGAAATTCTCTCTCTCTCTCTCTCTCTCTCTCTCTCTCTCTCTCTCTCTCTCTCTTCGTTCAACTAAAAACAAACTGGCATATAGATTATCTTTCTTTTCTCCTTGGAGTTGACATCATTTTTGTGGGTGGAATTTCATTCAACTGTACTCCATTGAACTCAAAGGCATGAATACAGTGTTCAGATTTTGACTTTACTGCATTAAGTCCCTGAATTAGCTGCTGGCTGAATATTGCCCTTAAATTGAGATTGTCATCAAATAGCTATCAAATGAGGTGACCAAAACAATCTGACTCAAAAATAGCTTATCTGTTTTTGAACATGACCAAACTGAATCCAATGCGACATTGTCACTTCTCAATTAAAGTTTACAGGTTGCCTGAAATCTTCTTCTTTCTTAAACATCTTACTCAGCATACTTGATGTGTAACTGTTAACTTTCAGATTAGATCCATAAAGGTGCATGTGAGGTCAGGTATGTATGCACACTCCTTCTGTTTGTTCATTCATTTTATTAATTCAGTCATGCATCTTATTCTATTTCAAGCCACATACCATGCCCTCATAAGGCCACTGGTTCTATGAAGTCAAATAAACATGATCTTGTTTTTTGAGAAACTGGAAATAAGTTGAGGCTCGTAATTCACAGCAGTCAGTGTGTTGCTCATGATGCTCAAGATGTGATTCTGAGCATGATTGTTGCTAAGGAACAAATCAGCAGCATGGGAATCATGAGGGTTAGGAAACGTGTCTTGGGAAGGTGACCATGAAGGACAGAGGATGGCACTGAGAAGGTGGCACAGCGTGCAGGGGAAGCCACAGTAGGGACCCTCAGCCGGGCTCTGTGAGCGAGCGCAGCATGGAGTCTGCAGGATGCCTGTGTGACTGTCGCAGATTGGGCTTCTTAGGAAACAGACTCTCAGGCGTACTTACGTTGTGCCTGAGGCTGGTGAGCTCACTGCTGGCATGGGGACTTGTGGGAAGGAAGAGGAGCAGAAGGAAGGGAAGGGAAGGGAGGGAACCAAATCTGGCAGAAGTGGGGCTCTGGTGCAGCCCCAGTGACTGAGACCAGGTGGCCCTCAGAGCAGCATGGATCTGGGGAGAGGCCAGGGCTGGGCTCTGGGTCATCTCCATTCACCGGGTGAAGGCTGCCCTGGGAAAGCTGCGCGGCTCTGGCGGGCAACTGCCACCCACTGGGCTGCTCTGCAGAGGCTGAGGGCACAGGGCTGTCACCAACAGTACCTCAGGTGGGGAAGTCCCCCTTGCCAACACAGGGAGGATCTGGGTGGCTCATCACAGCAGCCGATAAGGTAAACCTCCATTTTGAGCAACTGAGGATGTTTGAAGATAAGTTTCAAGGGCAAAGCTATAAATTCAGGTTTGGGGTATGGAAGTTGAAATCTGTGGGTCACCTGCAGAGAAACGCTCCAGAATGTCTGGCTCAGATTTCAACCCGGAGGCGATGGTCAACGTGAGGGAAAACAGGCCCAAACCAGACTGGAGAAGAAGGAAGGAGAAGCATGAAAAGCTGCTGCTCCCAGATCCAAGGGAAGGCAGGGTTCAGGCAGGAGGCAGCAGACAAGGAGCCCAGATCGTGTGCTGAACTCTGCAAAACCCGCTGAGCTCTCGCAGATACTTGGTGGACCCAGGGGAGGGGAGGCAGCTTGGCTGCGAGGCGCTGAGGACCCCAGGGCGTGAGGCACGTGGCTGCGTGAAGACGGGAGGTGGTTCCAGTCCACGGGGGAAGGAGAATCCTGGGAGGGCAGAGGACCTGGGGTCAAGAGACGCTTGGTTTTGATTTAAGACTAGAAAGAGGGCAAAGGAAAGCAGTGGGAGCGTTCATGGGACCGGGGACGGAGGCCTTCATTGTCTGATGGGTGGGTGTGGACAGAGTGTCACAGAAGTGGTGGGTACGGGGTTTGAGAAAAGTTTGAGAACTTCAACAGAGCTGCCGAGAGGGATTCTTCATTTACTCACTCAACAAAGGGAGGGAGCTCTGTGGAGATGGGGGGATGCTCCCTGAGAAGAGCAGGGGGACCCTCCGGAGGCTGGAGAGAGCCGGGTCCTCCCAGGCTCGCTATGTTCTCAGGAGCGTGAGTGGGAGTCAGTGTCCTCACTGGGTCGAAATACCTGAAATAGCTTAGCGGGAGGAAAGGCCTATTGGGCTCAAGGTTTCAGAGGTTTCTGTCAGGAGTCACTTTGCAGCACAGGATGTCATGGTGGCACGTGTGGTGGGGAGGTCTGTCCCCCTCTTGGAGGCTGGGAAGCAAAAAGGGAAATATTCCCTCCAGGGGCACTAACCCCCACCCCCCTGCTCAACACCTCTGGCTGGGGACCAAGCCTGCACACATGGCCTTAGAGGACACCTCCAAACCAGAGCAGAGAACCAGAGGGAGAGAAAAGTAGAGAGATGGGCAGCGTCTGCTCACAGGTACTGTTGCAACTCTTTAAAAAACCGGGGGCTCTATTCTCTGAAGTTCTACCATGTAGGAAACTAACTTCAGGAAAGCACTTGAGAAGGGGAGTGAGGCAGTATTTGTGTTTTAGAAAGTCCTCCCTGGTTTCAGTGTCGAGTGGACAGAGACTGCAACACAAGGTTTGGAGGTCAGCCAGGCTGCCCATGAGTCCAGGTGATGACATGTGGGGACTCGACAGGTGGCTGGCCAGGAGAGCAGCGGCCAGGGGCAGGCTTCAGCTGCTGGTCTGTCTCCCCAGCGCGGATCCCCATGTCCTTCTGGCAAGCAGTTAAAGAAGGAGACCACTGAATTCAGTCCTGAGCGGAGGGACCTGGGATGGCTGTGAGCCAGGTCGGGTCTGGCACTGCCGGGATCCAGCAGCACTCTGCAGTGTGTTTCCCAGCACCCTCCTTCCAGGTGGGCTCTGAGCGGGCTGCTCCTTAGACTCTCCGCTGTTGCTTTAGAATCAGCAGACGCCATCAGGCAAAGGGACTTGGAATATTAAGTTGCATCTCAGGGCTCCCTTGGCAAGACCTTGTGAGCTCTGTAGTTCTCTAAACCTTTAAGAACATAGGACTTGTTTTTAAAGTACTATGTTCTACTAGTACTTGATGGTAAGATTGGCCCAACGAGCTGGAGTCGGAAGCTTCTCAGTCACCTCTGGAGGCTCTCATTTCTAGGACATTAGAGAACAGAAGACACCTCATAAAGTATCAGGCGCATGTGAGGCCCAGCTGGTGCCAGCTGTTATTGGTACACAAGAAAGGAGCACATGTCTACAGGAGGAATTGAATATCCACCGGCTGGCTACAGGAGCAACCCAGGAGGACACGTGGGGACTCGCTCCTGTGCACAGATGGAAGAAACCACCTGAGCGGTCACATTCCCCGAGGACAGAAGGGTGGGAAAGAAACATTAGTAGGTGCGCAGAAATGAAATCTGGAGACAAGTGGGTGGAGGGACTCACATCTGGGTTTTAACTTCCTACATGAACATAATAGGAAAGAAAGATGATTTTCTGGAAGTGCGGGGAATGGGATCAATGTAGGCTTTAAGGAAAGTGGAGGAATGTGTCACAAGTACTGTGCAGAAAGCCCCGGGGTGGAGTGCACGTGACTCCAGGGCGTCCTGGGCGCAGCAGCACTGGCTGTGTGGGACTGCGGCTGCGGGGAGAGCAAGTGGGCCCAGGGCTCCCCGAGGACCACTGAGAACATGAGGCAGGGTCACCAGCAAGGGCGGTCAGAGGAGCAATAGGACAGGGAGTGGCACGAGGGAGAGGGAACTGCAAGTCAAATGCTAGGAGCCCTGAGAGGAGCCAGACTGGCACGTCCAAGGGGAGAGGAGAGAGCCTGGAAGTACACGCCCCACTTACCAGAAGAAAAGTCCAGGTGCACGAAGACCAGAGACCCGAGGAGCACAGCCAGTCCCAGTCCCCCTCCCGTCCAGGAGAGGGCACCTACTTGGTGGGACGAGGGGGCTTCTCCCACCAGGAGACAGCAGGTGGATGTTAATGGGCCAGGGTTCAAGAAAGTCTATGAAGGACACGGTGGGGGTGGGTGTCACCTCCAGCCAGAGGAAGATGAGACCCAAGAGCAGCAGAAACAGGACCTCGAAAGAGGTGCAGAGACACCGAGAGGGGAAATCAGTGGACGAGGACACCTAGGCAGCTCCTGCCGGTGCGTCCCGTCTGCTCCAGGAGGCAAAGTAAAGGCAAACACGGGAGGAGGAGATAGAAGACACGGGAAAGGAGCCAAGTGGACCTCTAGAGACGAAGAATACAGTGTCCAGGTGAGGAGCCGTGACGGGACGCCAGGGATGACTCGCGGCTCTGAGGGCAGAACAAATTCCCCTTCAAGTCAGTTACAGGGAGGAAAAATGGGGAAAGCGGAGGATGGGAAGGGCACAGAGGCTGTGAGACAGGGTCCTTGGGGACGCCTGCAGGGACATGACCTCTGAGCAGACAACATGGCAAGACAGAGATGAGATCCAAGAAGACATTGGCAAAGCAGGTTCCCAGCGTTGTGGGGGACAGTGCCCTTAGTCCAGCGCTGGGGGGGACTGTGGTCTTCAACATTCTGCCACTTGCTAAGAGCTTTCTATGTGCCATCTCTGTTCTGGCCCCAGAAACACAGCGACGCACGAGATACTGTCTGTAGTCTGTTTGGAGAAGCAGGCACGTCCACAGGAGCTGCGGGATTCTGAGCGCAGGGTGCCAGGTGCGCACTGAAGGGCACCACCTTCAAGGAGCGCTCCGTGAGTTCTGGGCCCCCGATGCCGCTGTTGTCCCGCCCAGGTCTGGACCCTGAGCAAGACACACTGATGTTATGAGAAGTGCTGGGTTCAGGACCTCACCATGCCAGGTCTCCACGTTATTCAGTATCACTGACTGTATCCCCACAAGCAGTGTTCGGGGACGCCAGGCCTCCGGCCCCTGGAGAAGATCGCTCAATGCTGAAGCCCCCCTCTAGGGACCTTCCCCACGGACACCACCAACTACAAAACAAAGCATTGCATTTAGTCCATGGCTTCCTGCTTTGCACCCACCACAGCCCCTACACCCCTTTCTTCTAACAACACATGGCACGTGTCTCTTCCACTTGACTCTAGGCACAATGACGACCGGGAGTCTCACTGCTTTTGTGTGTGAAGCATTCTCCTGATCGTGGAAAGATACACATGACTTGACCTTTTGCATTTTAAAAACACACAACTTGGTGGCATTAATTGCACTCACAACAACGTTTGCCACTGCCACTGTGTATTTTCAAAGTGTCTTAAGCAAGTTTTGCATCCTTATCACACTGCATGGCCCATGTGACTTTGATGGTAATTACCGACCGACTTGTTGAATGGATGCTTGGGTCAATGCATCGTCTGGAGCTTGGCAATAATATGAGGAGTTAAGATTTCCTCTGTTGCATGCAGAAAATGACAGGGAACAGAGGCTGCCAATGGGAACCAGCTGCCCCTGTTGGGTGCGGCCACCCCTGAGGAGTGTGTTCAGAGGGGACCTGTGCTGATGGCAGCCACCAGGCAGGCTCTCGGGGAGATGCAGTATGGCAGAGACACTTCAGTCAGGTGGGCCTGGTGGTGGTCGGGCCAGGTGGTTGGACTCCTACAAGCATTTAGGTGCTACTCAAAATGTCTGCATAAGTAAGTTTTCTCCCCTTGTCTCTAAGAGGAGAACATGATGGTCCTATTGCCACCTTTGGGGCTTTGGGAAATAGCTTGATAATAAGGGCTCCTCGCTGTGCCTCATTCACAGGCACACTTCAGGGAACCCAGTGTCTCATAGGGACGGGACAGTTCAACAGGTGCATCACAGGGACGGGATAGTTCCACGGGTATGTCACAGGGATGGGATGGTTCCCCGGGTATGTCACAGGGATGGGAGAGATCCACTAGAGATCCAGATGATGCTAAAATCACCAAAGAGAGTTTAATTTGAACAGTATTCATAAATTTAAAATTCAGCCTTTGTCGGCACTTGCAAAGCTCATGTAACCTTCACAAAACCAATTTACCATTTCCGTGTTGCTGAGTTATTTCAATCCCTACAGTTGCCTGCCAGGGGAAGACACAGGGCACTCAGAGACAAGGCTGGTTTAGAGCAGGGCTTTCATTAGGTACACACTGGGGAACCAGGGACTTCCTTTGAAATTCTGCCTTTTCTTTTTCACCCTTTTAAATGTTGTTCTTGATACATATTTGTACATTTATGGAGTACAGTATGAAAACTTGATATATGTATCTGATGTAAAGTGATTAAATCAAGATAATTATCTCTTCTATCTCTGTGAACACCCACCATTTCTACTTATTGGGAAACTTTTGAAACACATGCTAACTTGTCACCCTCCTGTGCCCTGGAGCACCAGAACTGCTGTTTCCTCTCGAATGGGTGTTGGGGCCTGTTGTAGGACCTCTGCAGTCCCTCCCCGACACTTCCCAGATCCTAGTGACCACTCTTCTCTCTACCATCTTTTAACTTCCGCAAATGAGTGAGGGCGAGAGATGTCTGTCAGTGCCCGGCTTACTCCCTTAACACAAGGTCCTCCAGTTCCATCTATGTTGCCACAAATGACAGGGTTTCATTCTTTTCAAGGCTCAATGACTTTTCCTTATTATGTACCTCACTGGCTTTATCCATTCATCCATCTGTGGACACCTCGATCGACCCTGTATCTTGGCTATTGTGAATAGTTCTACAAGAAGCCTGGGATTTCTCTTTGATATACTGATTTCATTTCCTTTGGATCTATACCCAGTGGTGGGATAGATGGATCATATGATTGTTCTATTTTTAAGTTTGGGAGGAAGTTCCATACTGTCTTCAGGTTGGCTGCAGTGATTTCTATTTCCACCAACAGTGTAGCAATTCCCCTTTCTCTGCATTGTTGCCAACATTTGTTAATTTGTATCTTTATGACAATAGCCATTCTAACTGTGGTGAATGGCTTTTCATCATGGTTGTGATTTGCAGTAGATGATTAGTGATGTCAAGCATTTGTTCATATATTCATCAGCCATTTGAATGTCTTCTTTTGAAGAAGTAGCTGTTTGGATCAATTGCCCAGGGTTAAATTGGGCGTTTTCCCATTGAGTTGTCTGAGCTCATTCTGTGTTGAGGTTTGGAGCTGGACCGTCCCCCAGTGTGTTGAGGCATCAGTGTTCCAAAGCGGGGCTTTCAGGAAGTTATTGAATCACAAGGGTGCTGACCTCATCAGTGGATTAATCCACTGATGGATTCATAATTTGGTGGCATTAATGGGAGGTGGTAGCCAGACACACAGACACACGGATCAAGATTTCCTTTTTCCCACCTGGTGCTGCCACAAGGCACTATATGCTCTTAGGTGGGACAAACAACTTCTTGCTTGAGAGTCTTGAAATAGGAAGGACCCCACAGGAGGCTTGAGAGGCCCCGGTGACCCAGGCTGTCACTTAAGTTCTATTCATTCACGCTATTCCACCTTCAGGTCACGTAGCTCTGGAACTCTTGTGCATGGATGTTCTGCTTATAAATAAGCCTGTGCTCTGAAATTTCTCTCTGAAAATACTGCCCTGGTTGTTTCTCAGATCTTTTTGTGCCAATCAATCACACTTAGGCCTAAGTAATTTGCAGTAGTTTGAGGTTTTCCTCCATATCTGTCATTGAAATGGAACTCCCATAAACAGCAATAGATTTCAATTCATGTCTCCTTGAGCAATCATTTAGATTAGGAGTTGTCACTTACTTTAGTGCATTTTCTGTACAAAACCCCACGAAGCTAGAGACTTTATAAAGAAAAGATGTTTATTTAGTTTTGAGGCTGAAACTCCCAGATTAAGTAGCTTCTTCTCTGGTGAGGGGTCCCCCTGACTGAGTCACAGCATGGTTGATGGTGAGACTGTGTGCAAGGAGGAGAGATCACATGATAAGGCAGGAAGCCAGAGAGCAGAGAAGGGTGTCCTGCTTTTTTACAACCACCCACTCTCATGGGAACTGCTCACTCTGCTGGACCAACATGAATCTTTTCCACAGACAGAAACACAGTGACCTACACTCACCAGTGTCCCCGCACACAGACCCTGGAGGACCTACCACGTCCAAACCACAGCAGGGCATTTTCTGGAAGGGACACATAGTAAATACCTTAGGCTCTGCAGGCCAAGTGGTTTCTGCTGCAAAAGCTCAGCAGTCACAGCTGCATGTGGACTAGCAAGTGGCCGTCTCCCCAGGGCCTTTGTATAGAAGCAGACATCTGGCAGGACTTGCCAGGCCGGGGCTTGCTGAGCCCAGCCCAATGGCTCTCCAGTCCACCTACTTTCTTTTATTTTTCTGTGCTAGTTATTGCAGCTGAGATTTGTGACAGTTTCTAAATTGTCATAAACTATCTCTACATTGGTGTGGTTTTCTTAAAATCAAAACATAAAAAAGTACTTTTCAATATTTTTTTCACATTTTTATAGATTAAAAACCACACAATAAATGCCACCTGGCTATATTTTAATTCTTTTTCTGAACACAAGAACATATATTCATGCAGTTATAACCCATATAGGAATTCCATTTTTCTATTTTGTGATTTATATTCAATATTATTTTGAAGAGCCATTGTTATGAGTTGACACATTATCTTGGTTATTTTAAAAAGTTTACTCAGTAAGTATTTCATTATAAATCTGGCTTGCTAAAAATTCTCCTATTGCCAAACATTTGGATTTTTTTCCCATGAGCTAAATAGGGCTGCTGTAAAATTCTTTGACACACAAGAGAGTTAAAATCCAAACATAAAAGCTATATTACTTCTGCTAGCTCTACAAATGATCGTGTCTGAAACATGATAACAGTACACTCTCAAAAACACTGCCAGATAATTATTTTTTAAAATGCAACTAGACTGTAAACTCACAGGATGGCTCTATCACACCCAATGATCTGTCAGACTGCCCAGTGTGGCTTTCACCGAGATCTGTGACTTGACCTGAAATGGTTTTTAAAATTCTGAAGTTCCCTACAGACACTGTGTATTCCTTTCCATATTCAATGGTGCATCTCAATGTTACTATGTAAACTCAGATGTGCTGATAAAGACTTCAGTCTATGTCCAAATACTGTACTCTGTACTCTAAATCAGACGGTTTTGTTAATACTGTCTCCACCCTCATAATTAGCCTGCAGATGCCATCGAGTTCAAGCTCAATGTTTCCTTTTCCCCCAAGGGAAGGTTGAGTCTGCAGACTGGCTGTTCAGGGCTCAGGGGTTGGTTGGTCATTCCAGGTCCAGCAGTGGGTTCTTGCCTTTTAGACCTTGGACATTGAAGTCTAAAGGAGCAGACAGGGACGGATGAGCATTGTGAGGACGTGCTCTGAGGCTGCCTTGGTGCCCTGATGGCTCTCATGCAACAGGAGCACCTCGGAAATACAAATCAAGACAATCGAGACAGTCGGGCATCCGGACACATCCTTGTAACTTTCATTATACCTGATTTGCTTCTTCAAGCACTTAAGCTGGCAAGAGATAGCTTCACAGAGAAGGTACACGTGGTCTAGGTCAATGCTCCTCAAACTGCCATTGGTAAAGAACATGTTTTTGTTATTTTTTTCAATATGCTACCAATTTGTACTTTACTTTTATAAAATGTGATAAATATTTTATAAAATGTGATAAAAGTAATTATCAGAAAAATAAATGGAAAGCAGACATGCTTGATATCAACCCTTAAGTTTTTATTGATTATTAGAGGCCACATTACATTTTTTTCCCCTTGGATAGAGGACATATCAGATATGAAACAGAAAAATAGAAACAACACTTGATTTTAGCAAAAAGCCAAGATCTATTTTTTATGATTAGAATCAACATAAGTATATTTGTTATATATTTGTGTTGGATATTATATTAACTTGGTATTGAATACATATAATCAGAATAAACATAGCACAAATAAAATTACAAAAATGGACACATTGTTTCACTGAAAGTGTGCCTATGCATAACGAATATGGGCTTCATCCAGCACAGCACCCAGGCCCCCGCTCCACACCTGGATGAGCAACACTGTAGAGGGCTGGGCTTTAGGGCAGATGCCTGGGCTTCTCTCGGTCTCTAACTGTGCAACTGGAGAGAACTTACTTTCTTAGCCTCTTTTTATTGAAAAAAAAAAGTGTGGATGATAATAAATCAAATGGGGTCATTCTTCGGGTGGGTGGAGAGAGCAGTGCAGACAGCGTGCTCAGGGCAGTACCAGAGGATAGATGATGGCTGCATTTCTGACAGGGACCTGTCAGCACAGGACAGTTTCCAGGACAGTTAGTGGTGAAAACATGCTGCAGGTATGCACCTGACTTCAGTGTACCATGGAATAAGCAGTCACAGACCCGTTGGAACCCCCAGAACCACAGGCTCCTACAGCTGACAAGGGGCTCTGCAAGGGTGTCCAATACAAACTAGATCTACACTATGGACACCAACAAGAAATCATAATAAAAATTAAAATATCTCTAAAGTTTCCAGGAATAGAAATAACAGGGAATGTGCAAAATATTTAGATGTTAATGGTTTTTTTAAAAGACATAGAAAAAAGCTGGGCACATACCTATAATTATGCCCAGGTGACTCAGGAGGCTGAGGCAGGAGGATTCAAGTTTGAGGTCAACCTGGGAAACTTAGTAACTTTCTGACCCAAAATTTAAAAAAATAAAAAGGGCTGGGGATGCAGCTCCATGTAAAGCATTCCCCAGTTCTCTCCTCAGTACTGGATAGTGAATGAATGATATTATAACTTGGTTAGTTCTCCCCTAAGTTCATCTATATATGCATCACATTCCAGTATAAACTCCAGAAGAAATTTTTGAGAAATTTGACAAATTGACTCCAAAATAAACATGAAAGAATGAAGATTGACAAAAAGTTAAGTCAGTTATGCACAAACATTAGGGTAGAAAATGATTTTTAAGATAAGACCCACCAGCACAATCTACATACAAGGCTGAAAATCGCTGGAGATTTCTATTCACTGTGGGCACAACAGACAGCGTTTGTTAACAGACACCGGCAGGTGAGGCGGGGCATCAGCAAGGTTGAAAATCAACGTGGTTAATATTTAGAGTCACAGACGAAATTGCTACTAACCAATGGGGAGAGGAAAAAGACAGGAAAAAGATTATGAACTGGCCATGCACAAAATTAAAGACCAAATAACTAAGTTAAAGAGATTCTCAGCCTCACCAGTAGTAAGAAACATAGAAATGAAAGCGAATGTAATATACCATTTAATACTCAATTAGGGAAAAGTTTAAATCTAGAAGCCTCTGTGTTTTCCACGAGTTGAAGGAAGCAGGAGATCACATGTCTGTGTTGGGGTCCCGCCTCATCTCCAAATCAGGTATGGAGAGGAGCTGGGTAGAAATGCCTGGTGAGTGCTGTGTTTAGGAAAAGACCACAGGGTGTTCGTGTCTGTTTAGCCTGGAGAAGACCGTCCATCCACGGGAAGCAGTGCCTGCCTGAGGTGAGGGAGGAGACTTAAGTCCTTCCACTGCGAGTCCTCTGTCCCCCAGTGCATGACAGCCCACCATTCTTATTAACAGTAATGGTCATTTTAAGTCTTTATAGTGTTTTAAGCTATTTATAAACAACATCTCAATTCGTAACTAACAAAACTGCCAATTGGCTGTTATCATTCCCATTCTGTGAGTCTCTGAGAGGTTTGCTGCCTCGTCCTGAGAGACACAGGTAGGAACAGCAGGCCACCAGGCAGCCCAGGTGCACAGGGCCCTTGTGTATCACCGTCTGCTGCCTTAGTATTGGTATTAGAGCCTCCTGTGAAGAAAGATAACAGAAGTAGTTTATGCATCAGATTAGAAACTAAGTCATCTTCAAAAAAGTAGTATTATTTGGTTCAAATTAGGTAGATATGGTCTCAAAAGCATACCATACATAGATGGGATATAATTTCTCATTTTTCTGAGTGTACATGTTGCAGAATCACATTGGTCATGCAGTCACATATATACATACAGTAATAATGTCTGTTTCATTCTACTGTCTTTCCTATCCCCACATCCTCTCTCCTCCCCTCCCATCACTTCCTTCTACTTAATCCAACATAACTTTATTCTTCCCTAGTGCCCTCCACCTTGTTGTGAATTAGCATCCACATATTAGAGAAAACATTCGGCCTTTGGTTTTGTGGGATTGGCTTATTTCACTTAGCATAATATTCTCTAACTCTAACCATTGACTGGCAAATGCCATTATTTACTCTTCTTTAAAGCTGAATAATATTCAATTGAGTATATATACCACATTTTCTTTATCCATTCATCAATTGAGGGATACCTAGATTGGTTCCATAATCTAGCCATTGTGAATTGAGCTGCTATAAACATTGATGTGGCCACATCACTGTAGTATGCTGAATTTAAGTCCTCTGGGTATAAACCAAGGAATGGGATAGCTGGTTCAAATGATAGTTCCATTTCCAATTTTCTGAGGAATCTCCATACTGCTGTCCATAGTGGCTGTACCAATTTGCAGTCCCACCAGCAATGTATAAGTGTACCTTTTTCCCACATCCTTGCCCAACATTTATTGTTGCCTGTATTCTTGAAGATTGCCATTCTGACAGGAGTGAGATGAAATCTTAGTGTAGTTTTGATTTGCATTTCTCTAACTGCTAGAGACGTTGAACACTTTTTCATATATTTGTTGAACAGTTGTATTTCTTCTTCTGTGAAGTGTCTATTCAGTTCCTTAGCTCATTTATTGATTGGTTTTTTTTTTTTTGGTGTTAAGTTTTTTGAGTTCTTTATATATCCTAGAGATTAATGCTTTATCAGAGATGAAAGTGGTCAAGATTTTCTCCCAATCTGTAGGCTCTCTCCTCACTTTATTGTTTCCTTTGCTGAGAAAAAGCTTTTTAATTTGAATCCATCCCATTTATTAATTCTTGATTCCACCTCATCTCCTCTAAGCCTACCTGAAGATTCAGCTGAGGATGAGCCTACTACAGTTTGTCATTGTCACAGGTTAAGTGTGGGGGTCCTGAGCCCAAGACCATCCCTTAGAAACTCCTTTTCATGTGTCTACAGAATTCCACAGACTAACTTATGAGGAACAGCAATGCATTTGGCTCCTGGTTCAGAGGCTGGGGAGTTGCAGAGTGAGCAGGGACCTCTGGCTGCGTCAGAACATGGCGGGTACTGTGTGGAGAGACGGGTCGTACTCTTCCTTCCATCAGGAAGCACTCCCATGGTAACGACCCCACTCCTGGGATAACAGCATCGATCCATTCCTGAGGCTTTGTCCTTAGGAACTAGTGGCCCCTTAAAGGCTGCACGTCACCATTCTGTTGCACTGGGGATGAAGTTTCCATTCAAGCCATAGCACTGCTCACCCTCTCAGACCAACAAGTGTGCAGACAGCTTTTCCTCTTGGTCGACTTGGGTGTTCATGATTGGAGAAAGAAGTATGTCCTCGTGGACAGAAAGCTCAGCAAACCAGTGTCCCTCCAGATACTGACAGGGCTCAGGGCCCTGCGAAGCTGGCTGGCTGTCCAGGAGCACAGTGGTCACTCCTGGCTCTTAGAGGGTCTTCCTGTGTGACCCTGGGCAAGTTCTTTGGGACTCTGATCAACACGTTCACCTTGCCTAAAATTCAGATTAGGTTGATATTCATAAAGACCTTTACAGCTTTCAAACTACGGTGCCACCCCTCAATTCTCCCCACTTTGACCCTGGGTAAGTGTGGCCACCCTTCTATTACCCCAGAGGAGCAAGCTCCGAGAGGTCAGGGCCTTGCCCAAGATCCTGGGTGAGTTTATGGCAGGACTGGGAATCAATCCCACCCTTAGCAAACGCTCCTTCTGACACATGGACAGCTTCACCTCACTCTCCGCAGAAAGGTCCTCTGGACATCTGTCCACCTGCTGTTTTTCCTTCCTGAAGACACAATTCCTCCAACAGCCATTCACTGCACCCACCACCCCTCTCTAACGCTCCTATGTAGCCCCTGTCATGTAGCTCTCAACACTGGGTGGATTCCACCTTAAATCATCGCAGTCTTGGGCACATTGCTCAGAGAGATTGTCAGGTCTACCAGATGGCCTTGAACTCGTCCCAAAGGCTCTTCAAGCTTGTACTTTCTCGTGTTAAATGGAGATGATACCAATTTCAGAGGTCTGATGTGAAAATAAATATAATGATGTACAAAGATGCTTTTGTAAATCCATAAAATGCTACATAAAATGTCACTAGGTGTTATTGACATCTGAAATAAAGATAGGTTGAGATGTGGCCAGATATGGTGTGTGATTCACAAAGGTCCTGGGACACACAGACCCCTCAGGTTCTGGCTGTGATCATCTCACTTCTATAATCCTGGGGAAATTACTACTCTTTCCTGAACCTTAGTCCTCATCTTTGATAGGGATATTTCTATCTTCTTTTAAAAGTTATTCTTAAGATAAAATGAGGACAATGCATCAAAATCCTAATATAAGGACGTACTAAGGTCTGTGTCTTGTGCTGTTGCTGCTGCTGCTGCTGTTCTTATTGTTGTTCTTATTATTGCTTTCTCATACATTTTATGCTCCACAACATTAAGCCTAGTGCTTTGCAACTAATAAGGGCCAAATACAATTCTGGAAGGAATGATTGATTTTTAAAAACTTCTGCGAGATCATAAAAAGATGGAAAATGCTGTAAATTTTT